CTAAAACAAAATTCCTCCAAACTGAATAAGGACGGCTGTAAATGACTGCAGGTTTTTTCTCACTGAAGAGACCAACATCTGTGTCCTCTGAGGAAATGTTTAAAGGTTCTCTGCCTCTCTCAGTTTGGATTGGCAGATAATTGTATAATATCACACAGGATGATACTGTCTCCTCTGTTGATGTTATGGCTTGGGTAAATCCCTTTCATGGAGTCGTTGTTCTTAGATCAGGTGAAAATGTGTGAGACCACGGGTTGTATATATGAGGTTGATGAAGACATCCTGACATCACTTTTTGGATCCTCACCCCTGACATTTTCACTGTCTCCACCATGATTTTCTGGCGCTGGAGGTGAACCTGTCTAAAAGTAAGCAGGAAGCTGTAGAGGGGGAATTAGAAACCACTGAGTAGGAAGCCAAAGCTCAAGCCAGTCAAGTAAACTAAGTATATAATAAGTTCCGGTAACACACGTTGAAGAAAGGATATTGTATATGCTCCTGAAGATTTATACATCCTTTCCTGCTTGCAGTCAGACAAAAGTACATCTGCATTAACATCACTGTCCTCTCCCAAAGAGAGACTAGTGTATCATATCATATCATATCGTATCATAATGTATTGTATTGTATAGTATCTTGTCATATTCTATCATATATCATCTTGTATCATATCAAATCATATGTATTGTATCGTACCGTTTCATATTGTATCGTATTGTATCATGTTGTATTGTATTGTATTGTAACGTATCATAACATTTTGTATCATATTATATCATGTCATCGTATCACATTGTTTCTTATTATATTGTATTGTATCGTATAATATAACGTATATATTGTCATATTTTATCATATCGTATAGTATGGTATTGATTCATATTGTAACACATCATAACATTTTGTATCATATTGTTTCGTATTATATTGTATCATATCGTATTAAATCATATTGTATTATATCATATTTAATCATATCATATCATATCGTATCATATCATATACAGTCTCATATTATCGTATTTTATCATATATCGTATCGTGTCATATTGTATCATACTGTATTGTGTCATATATCATATTGTTTATATTGTTTTGTATCATACTGGATTGTATTGTAATGTAACATAACATTTCGTATCATTGTATCGTATCGTATCCTATTATATTCTATCCTATTGTATCGTATCATATTTTTTCGTATCTTATTGTATTGTATCGTATCGTATCATATTTAATCATATCGCATTGTATCGTATCATAAACTGGATCAAAGATATTGTATCGTATTGAATTGTATCGTATAGCATCATATCATATTGTGTCATAACCTGTCGTATTGTATTATATTGTATTGTTTGGTATCATACTGTATCGTATCACATTGATTGCACCTTGTTATTGTACGATATTGTATAATGCCGTGTTATGTTGTATTGTATCATTTTGTTTAGCTTGATTGCATAGCATATCAGATCATATATTGTACTGTATAGCATCCTATGTTATTGCCCTGTATCATATAGTATCATGTTCTATTATATGACATTTATTATATTTCTACAGTCCAGTCCCAGAGACTACTATTTAATATCCAGTTTATGAGCTGGATTAGAAGCATTTTCATTTAAAGTACACCATCAATTTCCCTTCATCTGTAATTCTTAATAAAGACAGGCCTGTATAAATAATAGTCTACTGACATTTTTGGAGGTCTGTTTTAATATTAAGGATGAAAGGCTGAAGGAGTAGTAAGAAATCTTTTTCCAACCTGGCATATGTTATAGTGGAGTTTTCGCCTGTTACAGAGCAATCCTTCCAGTCTGTGTCATTCTTGGAGAGCATGGAAACACGCTGAGCAGTGGGCCAGGAAAGCATAGTTGTTAAAGAAAGCTGAAATTGAGGCCTCGCAGTGCATGTATGCTGGCTGGCCACCTGGAGCCCACCTGCCGAGGCCTGGGCACACATACTTTCCTCCTCTCTATCTTTCTGTCTGTCTCAATCTATTTATAACTTCTCAGTGGACGTGCGTGCTGCCCACCCAGCTCTGTGAGAAACTGCTTATGTTGAAATTCAGGAATCTGGTGTTCCTCTTGATGGAACTGGTTTTAGCGTGATGGCTTACTTTCTGTTTCAGTGACTGCTGTCTTTATGCTTTACTGTTTAGATTCATGCGTGTTTCAGCTGTGATGGCATCCTTGAAACATGCTGTATGTAAAAATTTTGACCTGTTGGCCCACATTGCCATCCCTGCAGCTGGAGCAGCTGAAAGTATAGATGGCAGCTTTGTCTGGTCTCTGCCTTTGAAAGTGGTGAAGCGGGCAAGTCCTAAAAACCTCATCCATTCAGTAAAACCCTCAACATCTGTTTGATGGATTGGCACGATTCCTCCGGCCCCTTGGTCATGTTGACATTTTCAGGTTTTAGTTTCATGTTTTGACAAGTACTTGATGAATTGCCATGAAATATTTGGTGGTATCAAACCATTAAAACCTCGTTTGTAAGATTAATGTAGCTATTGGCAGGGTAATTGGAATATAATATTAATAAGTATGTTTTCATTAGTGTTTAATGACCTGAATATATGAACAGGTGTGCTTTTATTACCTTAGAGGACTCTTCATATCTATGTAGGGGACAAGCGACCAACCAAACAGCCCAAGAGCGTAACTTTTATGAAGTTTACGAGTTTGGGGACCGTGATATTTGCTTGGAAGAGGAGAGGAAGGGGAGCAGTTACCAGTTTGTTGTAATCTGCAGTCTCATAGATGCCAATAAACTCTGCCTCCTGATCCTTTTAGTCATTATTTTCCTCTAAGTGCAGCACACAAGAGCCAGAGATCTTGTTTTATTAACATTATAGTTCCCAGTCAGTGTATCCAATTAACAGTAATAATCTCATGATCATTTGTCGCTCATACGTCATGCTAATCTTTGTGGTTTCCAATAAAACATATCCACATTTTTAGTTGATTTTCAATTGAATATATCAAAATTTGACGTATAGTTTCTGATTTGGTGAGCCGTTAACTTTTTTGTGAAACCAAAATGTTCCAAAATCCCAAATAAGAGTCTCATCTTATGTAAGATGCACTCGGTTTTGGGGGGTCTCTCAGAGGAAAACAGTTGTCAGTCTTCACTATTTCCACTGCGTTCAAGGAAGATCACAACGCGCCCTTCCTGTGCAGGTCTTTCATGTACCATCTGTTTCCACCATGTGGAGTTTGCTATCCGGAGTAGCCACCAACTGACCCAGCTGTAACGTTCATACATGTGAGAAACAGACCCACCGCTCAATTCTCCAAGAGGCGTAAGTGCCAACTCAAGCAGGTGCTAAACTGAAGCATCCAGAGGACACTTAACTTACATTAAACCTACCAAAAAGCCATTCCAAGAGCACTTTATTTACATTAAATGCACTGATAATACTGTCGAAGGGCACTTTATTTACATTAACCAACTTATAAGACATTTGAAGTGCACTTTATTTACATTAAACCAACTTAAAAGACATTCTAAGGGCACTTTATTTACATTAAACCAACTTAAAAGACATTTGAAGTGCACTTTATTGACATTAAACCAACTTAAAAGACATTCTAAGGGCACTTTATTGACATTAAACCAACTTAAAAGACATTCTAAGGGCACTTTATTGACATTAAACCAACTTAAAAGACATTCTAAGGGCACTTTATTGACATTAAACCAACTTAAAAGACATTCTAAGGGCACTTTATTGACATTAAACCAACTTAAAAGACATTCTAAGGGCACTTTATTTACATTACACCCAAAATTACACATTCTATCTACTTGAAGGATATCTTAGAGGTACTTAATTTACTTATTATTCACTGGATCCAGCATCCAGAATCAAATCATTTAAGAGGGCAATTTTAATGCATTTGCTTTCAGATATGAGGCCTCCATGGAGGGCCATAGCCCCCCTTTACCCCTCGTCTGAGTACACCACTGTGTGGACACTCTTTAGGACTCTCCTGGTTAAAAGATCACCCTTAAACCTTGTCAATCACACCTGGAGTCATAAGTCAACAAATTGGAAATCATACTGAAGTGAAATCGATTAGATATCAAGGACTGGTTGACTGAAACTCATCAGGAAAATATTCACTGAGGTAACTCATGGTTCATTTCATCTGCTAACAATTTTAAAACATGTGCAGTCGCCCCCTAGCTGCCGTTAGAGGGAATGCAGATTTGGTTTAAAGTCCCTTTCAGTGCCTTTTCCTTCTGATCTGTGTGTGACCACTGAGTCATTGGACTCTGTTTGCCTTCTGGCTCCAATTTGACATCACTTCAGAGGCCAGCTCCACCACAATAGAAAAGTTTACACTGATTTAAGTCCATGCCAGCCTCAGACATGCTGTCTTCACCCTGGAAACCACAAGGAAAAGAAGGATTTATTCTCTCTCAGGTCTGAAGTTATAGTGCCAGAGAGTATTTTGGGCTGCAGGAGGAAATATTGTGGCGATATCTGATCTATATCCGTCCTGTCAAAGGATCAGCTCCTTTAAGTGACTCTACAGGGAGCCTGTAAAAACACCAGTGAGATAAAAATCCTGTCGACTTCAGTCTGAATCTGAATCGTCCCCACAAGAGCCCAGGAGGTTGTTTGACTTACAGACAACTGAGCTAATGTATTTTTCTCCGCTCAGCTCGAGTTAAGCTGTGTAAACTTAGAACGCCACAAGACTGGAAAGAGAGGGAGGAGGAAAAAGAGCGGAAAGACAGGGGGGTGGAGGTGTGTGTGTGTGTGTCTGTGTGTGTCTGGAAGTGGAAATGGGCAGCAGGGAGGAGGAATGTGAAACATTTCTGATGCTGGTCCTGCGCCTGTTTACACGGCAGTCAGCCTGTGACATCAGAGTCAGGACTTTATAAATGTCAGCGGGAGAAAGAATGAGCAGTGAGCAAACAGCCGCACCGTCACACAGGTTAGAGAGACACAGTGATCTGCATCCGAGACACCACCAGCCCCCATGGACCGCCTGCTGAGTGACTGTGTGAGAGTTCTGATACTGCTGTGTGTGGCTGCACAGGTGAGGCCTTACCTACTTCATTGTTACCAGACTTTCCTCTGCAGTGCAATTTTGTCATAAATTTAAGTTATTATAATAGAAAAATATGAGGGATATGCTCTAACAGTGAAATAAATAGGGTTAATTGCTTCTATCCTGTATGGGTGATTGATTTTATGAATGATATTTCAGTCATTTATTTTGTTTTTTTCATTTGTAAAACCATTTTTTAATCAATAACCACAAAAGACAAAGAAAATCAGAAATATTCTCATTAAAAAGCTGAAAAATGAGAATTTTTCTGTAATTTTTTGACTAATTTCACCGCAGTGATAAGAAAATAAGTTTGATTGACAATAATCTAAACAGTATTTTGCCAATCAAGCTTATTAATTTGGATGGACTCATTAATCATTGAAGGGCTGATCTTCCTCTTTTGTCATGTTTCTGTTATCATCTGTAAAAATATGACGGTTACTCTTTGGAGCATGTGTGAAAAACAAGTCTTGGACTGTCTCTCTGTAAAGTGTCATAAAGAAATGAGAGGAATCTTCTGCTACTCTTCTAGATCTGGTCTGGGTTTTTGGCTCCACCAGATTCATGTAATTGGAAACAGTGGTTTGGACTGTGAACTGTCGGGTTTTGGCATGCAGTTTCTCGGGATACCGATAATATTTTCTTTCCTTCTCATGTTAAAATACGTGGAGAACATGACTTAGATAAGAAGCCTGACAAGTATTAAAATATCAGCTATTCAACAAACTCCTCTCAGGGGCCAGATGTTCTAGTAGTTATGTCACACTGCTGTGTTTCAGATTCAAGTCTGTGTCTATATTAGAGCCACTACCAGACAGCAGCTAATATAACCATCAGCTATGAAGAAGAGGAAAGTCGTTCGCCACTGTTTTACTTTTAAGCTAATGTAAAGGTTGCTTTGAAGAGGCTGGAGTGAGTTCTGCAGATTAGAAACCTGAGAGGGTGAGCGAGATTGTTTCATTCTAATCTGTATTATCACCTCCTCACTCGCCCTTTAATGCCTGAAACCACAAATTATGACCAGAAAATTCAAATTCTTTTGGAGCTGAAATGTTTATTTCACTTTCTACTGAAAACCAAAAAAAATCAAAATGTCCTTAAAATTTAACAAATATATTTATTTATCTTGTTTGATACATCAGATGTTTTTGGAAACAGATAAACCACAAGAGGACATTTTAACATTTATCAGACTGTATTCAGGTGTTTTTTAGTCATTTGTTTATCATATTGATTTGATAGAAGTATCATAAAAGTATGTGTCAAATATGATACAAAAGGCGTTAAAGGGATAGAGTTTATCCTGCTTATGTGAGTAGGGTTCCCTGAGGCGAATACTTTCCCTTTCCCAAATTTTGACAAATCAACAAGTAAAACACCCAGAAAACAGTAAAATTTAGCAACATTTATTTCAGTCAAACTATCTGTCACCAGCCGTCGCTCATATGTGCAGATTGATAACCACCTGTCTTGCTCTGGTCAAGTGGATGTACTCGGTTCAGACCAAACTTTATCTCAGTTTCTGGACAAAATTCCTCCAAAATGTTTCGCACATGGAGACGCCACCTGTCATGAGTTTGTTTACATCTGTAGAAGCTCCAGCACAACATATAAACATTATTTCATGCCTACAGTGATGAAAATATTGATGACTCATTATAAAAATATGGTGCTGAGTAGTGAGGGTGATCACATTTTTAATTTAGTCGACTCAACATAACAATTTTATCGTCTGAGCTGGTAGCGCTTCTATGGCAACAGTATATCCCAGCAATGTTACCAACCTAGCGACTTTGTCACTAGATTTAACGACTTTTCAGACCCCTCCCAACGACTTATTTTCAAAACAAGTGCCTAGCAACAAATCTAGCGACTTTCCTGGAGTTTAGAGACAGTGGGTTTGATGGAGAAGTTAAGCAAATTAGACAATGACTAGTGACTTTCCTTACTGAGCAGTCGGCAACAGTATATCCTAGACCTCTCCCTCTGCTGGAGCCTAAACTGTGTCCCATTATGTGTTTGCTTTGTGTCTGTTTTCTTCAATTTGGTAGATGACCCATTCAGAACCTTCATATTTCAACCTCCCTTTGGCTTTTTACTTGCAGAAATATATCAGTTTGGTGTTTATAGGTAAGAAAGTTGGAGCCACTTGTTTCTACTGTATGTTTATCGTCCTTTCAGGTGTTAGGCCAGCACTGTGACAGGCCCTGCAGTTGCCCTGGACCTGCTCCCCAGTGCCCCCCAGGAGTCCCCTTGGTGCTGGACGGCTGCCGGTGCTGCCAGGTGTGCGCTCGGCAGCGAGGCGAGCCCTGCACCCAGAAGTTTCCTTGCGACATCCAGCGAGGACTGCAGTGCGATTACAGCCTCAGCCTCCCTGGAGAGGCAGGAGAGTGTGTCAGTAAGTGCCTCCCCTTAAAACTGGACTCATAACACTGTGGGTGTGACAGAAAAACAGCCCGAGTTAAACAGACGATTAAACTTTGAAGTCATTTCGGCAGAGCGAGACGTCCTGCCAAAGCTCTGAAATGATTCATTTCAAAGACCGTTGTTGACACATTTCCTCTAATAGCCGCCCTTTGAGCGTGATAGACTGCAGAGACAGCACCCAGGGACTGAAAAATAGACCCAGTCAGCGGACAGGCTTTGGTTTTCCATGTGCTGTTTAACACTGGCAGGGACAGCAGCTCCTGTGTCCTCACCTGCTTTTCACTCTGTTCTTTCATTTCCTGATTAAATTTCCCACATCAATCCATCGAGCAGGTGTGGCTGAGGAAGTTAAAGTGGCGTCTGTACTGTGTGTTCCCTCCAGGTCAGCAGGATCTGGGCTGTGAAGTCAACGGCATCACCTACCAAGAGGGTCAGGCTTTTCAGCCTTCCTGTGACACCTACTGCTACTGCGTGGGCGGAGGTGTGACCTGTAAGTCGGCGTGTCCTCTGACTGCCCGTCTTCCCACCCCGGACTGTCCGAACCCACAGTTTATCCGGCTGCCTGGGAAGTGCTGCAGGGAATGGGTGTGTGAAAACCTGGAGAACACGGTCATTCAGGACGCAATCACAGGTAAACTCTAAAGGTGTGTGGACGAGTGATTTAAAGACCCTGAAACATCCCCCTGACAGCGGCCCTAGATCGAGCAGCAGCAGGAAATCATGGACTGTATAGAGGAAGTTGAAGCCAATGCATGAATGCCTTAAATGTGCATTATTCCTAATGACCAGCAGGGGGCGACTCCACTACTTATCAAACTGAGTCAATCATTTAAAAGATTTGTTTATTTCTTGATTGATTTACTCGACTTATTGCCCTTTCCATCATCTATTTTGGTTGAGATCTTTCTAAATAAGCTGTCATAGACACAAAATGATGTTCAGATTGTAAATTCTGCCAATAATTTGCCGTAACTTGACAGTGAGTCCCTGCTCTGATTGTTCCCTGTCCTTCCATGTGCATATGTAGGATGCTAAAGCCAAGGCAGGCAAAGCAGCAGCAAAGACCCCAGGGTTACAGAATAGAGCAGGCATCAGTGAAGTTACACATAACACTAGTGAAACTTAGACGCAGCTTTTATGGGAGGAGCTAGAGAAGAGGCAAGTTTGTTGGATGTGTAGACGAGGAGTCAGCTGATCTGAGCTGGCGTTAGGATTATCTGACGAACTATGAGCTGAGCTTGATTTTGTCGCCCGCCTGAACTGACTCTGTGCTCAATCCATGGCCTGATTTAAAGCTCCTGTGAGTAACTTTTAGTTTTTACAATTTTGGCGCCCTCTCATACAAAGCTGTCTTTGCATTTATTGTCCTTTACAAGCCTTTACAAAAAATCTCATCCTGCTGACTTTTGATTTTTCCTCATAAATCTGTAAAAACAGGGTCGTCTATTTGGATGTTTAGCTGACGCCTACCCTCTGCAAGAAGACTGATGGTCTTATTTGCTTTTATATGTCACAAAGAGACATCTATGAGAATTTGAGTCTATTCTATAAATGTCAAAAAAATCCTCACAGGAGCTTTAAAGAAGTGAGTTGGACAGGATGATTGATTTCTCTCTTGTGTCTGTAGATTTGGTACAACTTTTAAGTTTTATTGGTTCAGCCTAACTCACTCAACAACTTCCATCATCGTTCTTCTTCTTTATCTTCATCATTTTTTTCTCAAGGCTTGTGACTTTTACACGTGCAGAGCTCTCTCATTGGTCCACATCTGTGAAAACACATAAAAGATAGAAGGAAATATAAAAGATGCTGCAGACGAGGTGTTTCAGATTATCGTCTTTCACTACGACACAGAGTATGAAACGAAAAAACATCCAGCTGCAGTTGTGTAACTCTTTATGTTCCCTTTTTTTTGTAATCTTTGGACCTAGCTTTGTTGTTTCCCTCTGTTTCCAGTCTATACTCTGAGTTTAAATACTTCTCCTGGCTTTTCTTCACATTAAACTGACGCATAAGTTGAGAGTGGAATCAATTATCTCATCAAACTCTGCAGGGAGCAAAAAGTGACTCACGTATGACTACTCCTGCTAAATCTGATCCTGACGTCAGGGTTCGATATTTACATCATTTTTCCAGCGTCTGTGGGCTGATGCCATATTCAGTATCAGCGGACAGAAATCCTCATTGATGATCCTTCCATATGGCAGAGAAACCCGTCCCTCATTTGTATGAGCTTTGTCACAGGCGGTCATGTCTGGAAGTTTTTACTGGAGCTTTTTCCCTCTAAACCGGGGTGTGTCCAGCCAAAGGAAAACTCACAAAGTCCAAATATACCCCACGCTTTTCTGGAAAAGTCAAAACATATTTTTTCCTTGTTACTACCAGTCTCCTAGTTTCAAAACAACAACCGCAGCTGCGTTACAATTAAGCACATGAAGCCGTGCAGAGATCCGCTCCTCGGTCTGTGTGAGAGCGTGAAAGAGCGTGAGGGAAGTGAAGCCGCTCTGAAAACATCTGGAAGTCCAAACACCGTCGTAGTAAAACAATGTGATGAGAGCAGAAACAGAACATTTTGTACTTGGACACTAAAACCTGCGATGTCGCCCCCGAGCATCAGCTGATTATTGTGACTGTTTCATGCTTTTCTTCAGGGAGGCACAGAGGATGCTTGGGATTTTATACTCACTGAAACAGAGGATTAGACTTTGTTAGGAGGTTTTTGTGAAAACAAAACAACCAGAGAGGAGACAGAAAGTGAAGCTGGTGAGTCACCGAGTTGAAGGAATTCAGTTAATGTTTAGTTTCCTGCAGAATTTGTCAAACTGAGACACTTCTGCCCAGCAGAGAGCAGAGGAGTTTAGAGGTTTGGTGAGACACATGCAGAACTCATCATGTTTGAGATGATCCTCTGCATCAGATTTATCCAGCGTTAGACATCATGATTAAACTGTGTAAAGGAATTAATAATGGTGTATCAGTCTATGTTTAATGGTGCCAGTTTGTCGAATTATGAACATGCAGTTTTGTAAACAAGACTCAAGGGGTGCTAACATGTCCACCCCAACCTGCAACCCTTTGCCAAATGTCACTCCCCACTCTCTTCCAAATTGTCCTCCTCTATCCAGCATCCTTTCTTTTAAAATAATGCTTCAGTGTGACAGTTTCCTCTCTGACCGGTGCAAAGACTCTGGTTCATGCTTATTTATCTTGAAAATTGGACTTCTGCAGAGACCTTCTTTCTTTAGCTGCTGCAAAACTCAGCTGCAAGACCAGAAAGAGGGTCCACGTTACACCTGTTTTAAAGCCTCTGTATTGGCTTCTTTCTGTTTTAAAAACTCTGGATGGTCTTGCGCCAACCTTTTTATCAGGTTTGTTTTAATCCTATAAAATCTGGTTCTGATTTGGGTTGGTTAAGAAGTTTTCTTTGCCCATGTGGAAGATTTTAGCTTTTTTGTCTGTTTAGCATGTTTAAAAAAACTTCTCCTAACAACGCTGAATATAAAAAAAGGAAAAAAGTCAAGACACTTGAGTTTAGCTGACTTTGGCGCCCCCTGTGGACAAAAAAAGACATGTCATCATCAAATCAGAATCAGTTTCAGCCTTCATTATCAAATAGAAACTCCCCACAAAGGTTTGTTTTTAAAGTCATCATCACAGCCGTGCAGCTGATTGCAGAACAAACTCCATGATACTGAATCAGATTGTCTAAAACCTCTGCTCTCTTTGGTTCCTGCAGCCACCAGACCCCGCAGCTTCTGGCCCGCTCTCACCAGGAATCAAATTCTACCCAAACAAGCCCCCACCGCCGCCCCCTGTGTGGAGAGGAGCACCCAGTGGAGTGCCTGCTCTCAGAGCTGTGGGGCTGGAGTCTCCACACGCGTCTCCAACCAGAACCCAGCCTGCAAGCTGCAAATGGAAACTCGGCTTTGTAAAGTGCGGCCGTGCAACATGGTCCAGCCTGTCCAGAGGAACCCTGTGGTAAGTCAGTTTAGTTCTGCTCCCCAAATGCTGTCAGAGCTCCATGGTTTCTGTAGGGATGGAAGAGACCAAAAAGTAGTTTGGACATAGGTCAACTTTGACATAACCCATAGGCATCTGAGTGGTTTTCTGCACTGCTAGACACAACAAGGGGAAAGTGAAAACTTGTTTATCGTCATCGGTGCAAACTCGACAAAGCTAATCACCTCTAAAATCCCTCAGACACAATTACAGCCGACCAAATCTAGAATTAAAGTCGTCCTTATGGGTTTCAGACCAAAATTAGCGCTGTGGGTAAGTGTTTTCATCTGTGTTTTCTTAACATAGAGAGCACTTCTCAGCACACAAGGGTGTGAGTGTAAACCTCATACACACCTCATACACAATAAAACATGATGATAACTGTTTGGAAAAAACAACTGTGCACAATCACTGTTTCAAAATACAAGAATATCGTCATTGTAAGTGTTTTATGATGACAGAATTTGTCTGTTTTTTGTGACCGCAGTGACAGACATTCTGCACTTTACTGAGAAACACTGAATGTAAACAGAGGAGGGCTTTGTTTACAGGACAAACATTAATGCACCATTAACGTTCAGAGAGAAAAACATCATAAAAAGTGTCAAACTGAGTAAATTCTAGTGTATAATAAGGCTGAGGTTGTAATTAAAGGACTTGTGGTTCGTATTTTGGCTTCCCAGAGTCACTAATTGTGGAAATTATTGCGCAAAGCCAGTTTTTTAGCACTCTCTGTTAGACTTTGTGTACTGCAACACTGACCTCTGCAGTTCAAATACATTCATTACATCTTGAATATAAAAATGAGTCAAAATGAGCACAGTGACAACATTAAAAATGCTCTTGTGTGGATTTTAAAGCAAATATTTCAGCCATATAAACTAATCATTGCTTCCTGTCATTATCTTTTCTGACTTTTTCTTTATTTGTATGTTGTGTTTTTTCTCAGTGGGGTCAACAGGGGCAGTGTAAGGCCAGCTTTACTTCACCAGGGCCCATCCGGCTCATCCACCAGGGCTGCTACAGCACTCAGGCCTACAAGCTCAGATACTGCGGGCAGTGCACGGACTCCCGCTGCTGCACGCCACATCAAACCAGCACAGCTGAGGTGACCTTCAGGTGTCCCAGCGGCAGACTCATACAGAGACCCGTGATGATGATCCACTCATGCGCATGTCACAATAACTGTCCCTATGCACCTTTTATGAACCCTGCTCTGTGGGGGTTCAGGCCCTGAAAGCACCTCCAAACAGTCGGACCCCACTGTGTGTCCTCTCCTCAACAACACTGACAAAGGAAAATATAAATGTAGCTAAAACTTAAAAAGCCAATTAAAGTCACAAGCCGTGACTTTAACTTTAGATTATGAATTAATCGACAGTTCAAACAGAGGAGACGATCTCTATTTACAGTGTAAAAAGTGGGGTTTGCAGGGAAGATAGCTTCGCAAAAGCAGAGTTTGTTAAAAATGTGCACTGAATTTCCTTCTATGAGACTTTTCCCAGGGGTTAGAGGTCACATCAGTTCTGTTTTCCTCATTATGTGATACCTTTGAAGCCAAAGTAAACTTCAGAAACAACCTTCGAAGTCATGGGACGCAAGACAAGAAAACAGAAATGATGTGAGTGATTCTCCAGTAGTTTTTGTAGTTTAAAATGGAAGATAAAGACATGTTGATTCTTCCCAAATGTTTGGGATCAAGAGGACAAAAACAGTCAGAAGCTTCAGAATATTTCTAATATCGCTTTTGATTGTGTGCGTGAAGGTTTTAGGTCGAGTATGAGCCAGTGAGATTTTTGGGTTTAAATTTTAGCCTTTAAAATGAAGACAAGGAATCATTGTAATTAAAGAGTATACATCAGCTGTGGACTGTTGACCCTGAATTTGGTCATGGAGATAGTTGTAAACCAGGTACCAGCAAACATGTTTTTAAGAGTAGATATTATTCTTTCAAGGTGATAAAAAATTGTATTGTCAACATGTTGACCCCGACATTTAAGTTGGCAGATGTTCCCTGACGCAAGCAATGCAGCTTTTGACTTGTACAGTTAGTTTGTGTATACTTTTAGTCAGATGAAATTGCACTTATTTCTCTCTTTTTTTTCTTGTTGTAAATATTTTTGTAAAGTGAAAAATGTTTCAGTATTTTAAATTTACTCTGGATATTTCTGATTATATTTTTTCATACTGTGCTTTTCCCAGATCTTTGTTATTTTGTACATACTGTTGTTCTAATGTACCTTCCCACAACATTTCTGTCATCATTAATGACTGTACAGCGCACTTTTTGTTGCAAAGATGGTGTTTGACTTATACAAAAAAGATCCGTTTTAGTGATTCATGTAAAAAAAATCAACTAAAACAATTCACAAGCACTATGAGTTGTGTTTTTTTCGTTCATATCTTCCACAGCTCTCATTTCTGGGCATGCGCTGTGCTCCTGAACGCCTCTCACTGAAACCAGATTTCGTTAGACTGACATCTAGTGGATAAAATAGTTTACTGCGGAGGCTGTGGGAATTAACAAATATAATGAATTCCTTAGAAAGTTAAGTAATTTTGTAATTAAAACGTTTATGAATTAAAAGCACAAAATTATACACAAATTAAGGAGATATTGATTTACTTTAACTAAATGTGAGTACATTCTCGAAGTTTCAATTGACGTCATGACGTTTCAGCTACGTGAGTAATGACGGCCGTTGACCGTCGATGTTTTTCCGTTGAAAGCGGCTAACTTGCGTTTGAGAGGATTAAAACTACACAGTTGTCAACACTTCTTCTGTAAAGTCGTTTAATAGTTTCGGGGACGTACAATTACTTAATAAAAATGATAATTAGGAGTAGCGTTGCTATTTTATCTCCAAAAAAGGAGGGAGAGTGGATACTGTTGGTCGCACCGCGGTGGTGTTTGCTAACTCAAACTCCGAGGATGCTAGCCGGTACAGTGATGCTAACAACAGTGAGCCAAACACTGAGGAGGAGGAAGAAGATGAAGAGGACGCATACCGAGAAAAGCCCAGTCTGAAGGAGCTGCAATATCTGCGTTAACTGTAAGTAAGATTTTTGAGCTATGTAAATTGGTTTTGTAGTTCTATGGTTATGTGCTGTTGTTTCCATAGTTAAAGCAGGTGACACTGCTTATCCCAACCTCAGTGTTATGGCGAATTTTGCAGACAATTGATGAAATATGTTTATCCAAGTATAGATATGATGGTGACTGTGATATTGAAGGTATGGACAAAGGTTGTTTGGGGCTCCTGCACTTTTTCTTAGTACCTTAGATTTGTTATAATTAATGTTATGAATATACGGAAATGATAAAGTAATGATCATAAATATTCTTCCTTGAGCTGCGTCACCCCGCTGTAGCCCGTAATGGACTGGCCCGAGGTCTCACTACAAACAAGCGGCTGCTGGAAGAGAGTAGGTGAGTTGCGTTTAGTCTCTTTGCTAAAGAAATCAGGCAAAGTTAAAAAGATACTGTACTGTTGATGAAGTTAGGTGCTGTTCTGAGTATTATCTGTGGCTATAGAGTGGTGTTTTGGTTGAGGTTTGTTTATGGCTCCTCAGACTGCTGTGTATTGCTATCCTGCGGTCTTTACTAAAGTTTGTATTAGCAAGCAGTCGGCAACATTCATCTCTCTAGAGGGTGTCTAACTCAGTGTTACAGTGTGTTAGACCCTAAATTAATTCGAATATCTTGTTAAATACTTTGCCAAATAAGTAATCTATCTTGGTGTGGTATGTTAAAACTAGGGTTCTTTACATGTTGTGCCCTAGGTATAAGAATTTGGGGTGTTTTCATTATTCTGATGCAATTCAACATAATTTTAAGAATACACAATTTATCAATACATCATTTATATTGATTTTCCTGTCACCTAGTGCTTGGATTTGAAAATATTGTATAGTTGTTGTGGTTCTTTGACCAGACCTCCAAGGATAAAAGTGTTCAAAAACAAGCTTTATTATATTATTTTATTTTATGAAGTCCAGAATGAGGTCTTCACGTGCTTCTGAATCGACCATGTCTATAATGTCCAGGGAAAAATCTCCACATGTATTTCATATGTCTTTATTTTAGTTAAACTTTTGCAGGCCACCAAAAATAATAGTTTGTTTTCAACTTGTAAACATGTTTCTGGTGTTCTTCCCAACATCATCTCAAAGTAGTATCAACTGACTACTTCCAGTTTTCTTATCAGACACGTGACTACAGGATGTGGTAAACCTTGCTATTTCTAAACCTAATCCGGTAAGAGATACTGTACATTTTTAGGACACATGAAACCTTATGTCACGGTTCAGTCACAGGCTTCTCATCAACACTACAGACCAGAAAATACTAATGATAAAATCAACAGTAAAAATGTGTCACATACGTGCATGTAACTTAACTTCTAAGGCAGTTGACCGGTAGTCAGTGCTCCATGTGGGCTACGCGTGGTTTCACTTCAGCTGTCTTTGATTTGATGAATGTCAGTTTCAATAAAGCCTAAACAAGCAGAAAACCATTGCCACTTCCTTTACATCAGCAGGTGCAGAAGTTTGAGCATAGAACACTGGGCGGCTTTGAAACAGGAAATACTCTTTGAACCAACCATGCTGTGATTCATTTGTCTTCAGTAGAAAACTGTCACAGTTACGAAGAGAAGAAAACTCCACTTTCAGCTCTCTGTAAAGAAAAATGAATCACACAGGTTGTCAACGAATCAGCTTTGATTTCTCGGGCCGATTTCTTCCTCCTGTTTACATCTTAGTCTTCATCATTGGACTGGCAGCTAATGGATGGGGACTGAAGTCTTTGCTGCACAACTGGAAGAAACTGGGTAACGTCAACGTGTTTGTTCTCAACCTCGGGTTTGCTGACATTTTGTATCTGCTCACACTCCCATTTTTGGTGGTGTACTACCTCATGAAGAGTAAATGGATCTTTGGAGAAGTTTTCTGCAAGATTACAAGATTCTGCTTCAACCTTAATTTGTATGGCAGCATTTGGTTCCTCACTTGTATCAGCGTGTACAGGTATCTGGCCATTGTCCACCCAATGAAAGTGATGGGGAGGATAACTGTGACTCACTCTGTGACTATCTCTGCTCTGGTTTGGATGACTGTGGGTGTTCTCAGTCTCCCGGACATGTTTTACCCCAAACACAATGGAAACAACACTCTTAAATGCTACGATACCACCAGCAATATCTTTGTCGAGGATTACCAGAGATACACTCTTGGATGGACACTTGTCGGGTTTTGTATCCCACTCCTCATCACACTGGGCTGCTACGGACACGTGATTTTTGTTCTCTGTCGCATAAATACCATTGACAGAGTACTAAAACAGAGGAGTTTGGCATTCCTGTTCATCTTGATTCTTCTCTTCTCCGTTTGTTACATCCCCTATCATGTTTTGAAGAACCTAAACCTTTTGGCGAGAGTTCTGACCAAACATAGGGCCTGTCGTGAGTGGTTCAATGGAGTCTACATCGCTCGTCAGATAAGTCGTAGCCTGGTTTGTCTGAACAGTGCTCTCAATCCTCTGGTTTACCTCCACGGACATGAAGATATCAAAGCTCACTTCAGACAACTTCTCCTGCGAGTTCGACGGATGTTTGGCGGTTTGTCTTCATCGAACGTGGACAGTTTGCAACTCGCGACACAAATCACACATGACATTTGAAACAGAGAAATATGTTGATGGTGTGGCTGGCTTTGGCCTGAAAAGATAACACATAATGTCAGGGGTTGACCAGAAGAATTCGAAAAGATCTGGGGTGAGTTCATAATGATTTTGAAGACAGAGTCTGTGATGAATTACTGCTTAGATGTTATGTTAATAAGTCAGGGTTTATCTTACTGTCTCTGCTTGCTTTGGACTAAACATCCAGCTGAAATATTTTAACTTTGTTTATGTATTTTATTTACGTACTGCTTTTGATATATTATTTCAGCATACTACCTTAATTGCTTATTTTTTTATTCAATATTTTTGATTCTCTTGACAGTTTCTATTTTTCCATGTATTTTTGGATAAGGCCCACTTGGTAAAGAAATTTAGTTTTGGACCGGACTGCGGGGTGGGGTGTAAGGGAGCTGTCCTGGCATTTATATGGTCTCATGTGTGTACACTTTGTCTGATCCAGCCCTTCGTTAAAAACAAAACTCATAAAAGAGAGTCCACTAAAATTACATGTTCATGTCTCATTATCCTAACTGTTTGTAGACGTAAGTTAAATGATCGTATTGCAATATCTGACTTTTACTGTACACAGTTTAGTCCTCAGTCAAGGGTTTTGTATTTTCAAATCTTCATTAGATTGTGAGAATGCTAAAAAAAAGCACAAATTAAAAAAGATCTTCTGAAAATTCAGCAAATGTTCTGCTTTCCTTTCAGAGAATATGACCATGTGTTGTGTTTGGGAGGCCCTGTGGTATGCTTGGTGTTATTTCTGATTAAACAGGAAGTTGATGTTGTTGAAAGTTAGGGTAGTAAAATGATGTGTGAAAGTGTTAAAATAGGGATGCAAATTCTACACGCTCCACTGCCTGCATCACAGTTGCAGCAACTGTGCATCAAAGGGTTGCACAGGAAGGCCATGAAAGTGTTGCGTCTGCTCAGTATAACCCTCCTTCATCCTGTTTTTGAAAGAATTTCTTCAAGATTAGGATCTTTTTAAAAAAACTTTTCTGAATTAGACCTGCGGGTAATACAACACGGTCTCATAAGAAAAATAAATATTGTGGAGTTAAATATTACGAGAAAGTAGTCCTATTGACCTGTCACAGCTTGACCCAGGATCTCTGTACACCAGACAGTGACAGAGGATGGTATGCTCGAGTTTGAATGATTTCTCCCCCCTGTAAATGTCATCTTTTTTCACCTGGGCGTAAGCATTTAAGTACTTGTCTGTAAAACCAAGTGATGCAAGAATAGTTTTTCCCCATCAACAAATCATAGCAATACAGCACCTGTGCTGAAGATGGCAATCATATTTTACCTGCTGACTGTTTTTGGATCTTTGTATCTTGTGCTATTATTACTGTGTTTTTTATCATTGATAGAAATAACATCACAAAATTTTTCTCTCCTGCATCATGTATAATACAGAATACTGCTTCTTCACACAATGAATAACCTCAACCTCATCACAAAAGTTGTGTCTGATCAGAGGAGCATGCAAGGTATAAAACTTGTGGCTTCAGTTAAGCTAAGACTGTGAATGTGTTGCACAAACTACAGACAAAGTTTGAATCCAGTGAAATAAAAGTTAATGTATCAAATATTTTATTTAAAGGCCCATAGAATTTTTTGTATTAATCATGTATTTAAAAGATTTAACAGTTGTGTCAATTTTTTTTTGATTATCTTCATAACGTGTCATGTTTTATCTTTGTGATTCGCTCCCAGGCATTTGTTTATAAGGACACATATTAAATTACATAAAAGATATTAAAAGTAATGTACTCCATGAACCAAATGTAAAGTGAACACAAAAATACAATTTATTGCAGAAAATGGACACCAACAAAAGTAAAAAATATCAGTACAGATTGGATTACATTAAATTTACATCAGCATGTTAATGTAATGGATAATCAGTTTAAAACTGGCATCAGAATTGATTTAAGTACGAACAGTGTAACAGACAGATAACTGACTTTATATCAGATCACCTCATGTTTGTGTGCGCTGTTTGATCACAGTCCAATTCATCGTGCTCTTAATGTTATCTACTCTTTCTTGGGCTTTAATGTAGACTTCTTCGACTTTACTAAACATCCAATGAGACATCTACAGGATACCAAAGTGAACATGGTGATCAGCAAACCGCAGGCAACCAAGAACGCCATTACATCTAGACTGTGGTAAGCATACCAAGGGAGCTTATAAGACTCAGTACGCAGGTGTGCTGCCCCTTTGTGCCTCATGACATACTCTATCCAGAAAACAGCACTGTCTAAAGGTTTGATGGGTTTATCATGAAGCAGCCGTGACAGTTTGAGCATATTGCGTTTGTACGAGTTTTCTGGATCCAGGATATTCTTTATAGCACCTGTCAGAGACTCAACATCCATTTCTGTCACTTCTACAATCTCACCCGCTCCCCTGCTCCTCATACGCACTATGTTGTCAAACTGGTCAAGGATAAGAGGCATTCCCAGAATTGGAACACCATGGTAGATGGCCTCATATAGTCCATTAGTGCCCCCATGTGTGATGAATAACTTGGTCTTGGGATGACCAAGGAGATCATTTTGGGGAAGCCATTTAACCAGCCTTGTGTTGTTTCCCAAAGTGGCAGGTTTTTCACCGATGTGCCTCCACACGACCTTCTGAGGTAGCTTGGCAAATGCTGAAGCGATGATCTCTGATATCTCAGGGCCAAGGTCGCCCAACAGTGTCCCGAGAGTCATGATGATTACCCCATGTTCACCAGAGCTTTGCACAAACTCCTCTAAATCAGATTGAAGAGGCTTTGCAGGCTTACCCTGAAACCCTCCAATGTAGACAACATTGGGCATAGTGGGACGAGGGAACTCAAATGTGAAGTCGACCCTCATCAACCAGATATCAGCCCCCTGCATGATGGACATGGGGCTCACATCAGGTCCAAAGTAATCATTGCACACAGCCTGATATGGTGGATTTGTAACAAAGTAGTACATGTAGACTAAAAAGCCGTGATAGATCATATTGTTGACCCTCTGGAGAAAGTCCATCCTGTCAGAGTATTCAGAGAACAGTTCAGGAACGTAAGATAGAGGGGAAGGAGCGATGGCAAAGTGCCCCTCCCCAGTGATTATCCAGCGCACATTGAAAACCATAGGGAGCTTGAGATAGTGTCCTAACAGCACTCCTGCTGGAAATACTGGGTCAGTCAGACAAAGATCATACCCAGTCTCATTCAGCTCTTTGATCAGTTTCTTATTCTCAAAGATACTGCGGGCCAGTTCTGCAAAAAATTTCTGGTTCCCCGTTAACCAATGGAAAACATTGCTATAAAATTCAAAATAAGCCAGTGGTGACCCCCTTCTCTGACGGACATCCAGTGCTTTCTTCATGAAGGAGGTCATGAACAGTTGGCTTTCTAAACTTTGGGATTGTTCCTGTGGAATGGTGATGGAGGTGTAATGAGGTGAAGACTCAGGGATGTACCAGCTGGTTGATGAACGGATCACAGTGATTTGATGACCCTGTGAATGAAGGGCTTCCACCAGTATCTTCATATTAAGCCAGTGGCTTCCATCTATTGGGAAAACCAGTATTTTCCCACCATCACCACTGAAAGGAAGAGTTGCTGAAAATAGCAGGACGAAGACCAGGACTGGACAGGACCCCATGACTGTAAAAGAGAACAGGACTTACTGAACGGATATTCCCATTTCATGCAGTACAAATCTCAGATAATGTCCAACATTGCCACGTTATCTCCATTTACCCTCCTTGAGGGCTGTGTATAAATTTCTTTTTAAACTTTAGTACACTCTTTTTTGCCTGGTTAAATTTGCTGTAGCATGTCAGAGCTTGAAACCACCATTTGCTGCTGGAACAATCCATTGAATGGGCATGTCTTACCCAAGATTCACATGCCGAATGAGGTGAATGTGTGCTACTTGATGCCGTGCCAAACCCTCCAGTCATTTTTAAGCCGTCTATGTTTTTCTGAGATGTTTTTAACTTCTCAGCATTCTTCAGCTTTTTTTTTGACTCAGATTAAAGAGTGCCCTCGTACCATCAGTATTAATCACAGATTAACCGGGTCAAAGTCCTTTAGTCCTTTACTTTTGTGTCAAAATCAAATCTAAAATTTATTTCACCAAAAGTTTCTTCTGCTTTGTAGATTATCATTTCATCATTTGTTTTGTTTTAGGACACAGCTGCTTAAACTCAACATACAGGATGTAGCAAAACCATAACCTTTTTTCTGTGTATGATGCAAATGTGATCCAATGCCTACTGAGAAGTTAAAAAAGCATTTGTGGTTTTATGTGATTTTTGGACAGGACATGGGTTTTTAGTAGCAGTAGTCTGTCACAGCAAACATGCAAAGTCTTACACAATCAAACTAAAGGTTAGTTCTGCTGGCCTGATTACTTGTTGTGGTGAAATGACTTATATATCAGACCTAAAGTAGAAACCACCCAGTCCTACAAAAGCTGAAAAATGCAATCATTGTCAGTTTTCTAGTCAGACAGCTCCTCACCTCAGACTCTGTGACCTCTCCCTCAGAGAGAAAAAAAAATCCAGTGTTGGAGATTATCATGCAACAGTTAAAACACAAGTGAATACATAACTCCGCATGTTCCTGAATGAACTGCTTCACTCTCTTTTCCTCAAATTCCTGCAACTTAAGGTCTCCTGTGGACCCTCCTCCCACAGCCTCCTTTGTTCGAGTTAGATTCTCCGCCCACAAATCATTTGGCAACAAATTTCACAGGGAAGTTAACCTGATAGACAAGTTCAAACAAGAGGATGTAAGGACAATGAAATGCAAAAAAAATTTTCCTGTCACTGCTGTCTGCCTGTGGACGTTAAACAGCAACTTAAACATCTACTGTTAAAATTTCTCCTACTAGTGGAAATTCACTCTTTTTCCTGCAGGATCTCTAGGCTATTTCCTATCTTGATTGCTTCTAATTTTAAGTCCCAGAAGAAAAAACAAACGCAAACAGAGCTCACTGTATCAGAAATGATCTGTGGTGTTTGTCAGTCCCGGCTGTTGACCCAGATGTGTAGGTGGTTGTCTAGAAAAGTTGTGCACAGAATATCTGATATATTTGTGCATGGTCCATATACTTCTCTGTTTTGGAGAGATCGATCATTCACAGCTAAAGTAGATGAGTTGTTTACTCTTTTTGACGTTTCCTCCTTGTGCACAAAGAAGAAATAAAAGAATCTAAAGTTGGTGCATCAAATTACTGTAAAGGAAAATCTGATTTAATCAATTTATGATCTCTGTTTAGTGAAGGTCTAGAAATAAAATATCTCATGCTCATGGGTGCTCACGAGTTTGAGATATTTTAACCTCTGTTTGGTTGTTGTGTTAGAGGTTTCCGTAAATTAGCAGTAATACTTGAGTTGAATCTCTGTTTGGAAAGGGATTGTGCTCATATAACATAACACACACAACAAGGTGTCAGAGTACTCCAGTTTCAGTTGAAGTGATTGTTTCTTTCTTTTGTGTTATTCATTTGGCCTTCCCTTAGAGATTGTGTAAAGTGATGCCACTACACTAATGTTGTTTGTAGCTGGGAAAAAAGGAGGAAGGAAGGATGGGAGGGAATGTGAAAGTAGAGTAGAGAGTGAACTTAAAAGACCTCTAAAAGTCTACTGTGTAGTCTGGCTCTGCTCCAGTTCCCTTGAGTGAATATGTCTAGAACTGGAACGACTTAATTCCTTCCTTATAGTGGTGTGGTATTTCTGAAGTGCCTCCGGAGGTGATTCTTTGGATCTGCAACCACCCAGATTAATGCAGCATATGACAAAGCAAATAGCAAGTTTGACCTTCAGTTTGTGGTGGAGGTAGATACCTCAGACTGAGGAGTGAGTGCAGTGTTATCCCAAAGGAATCCTGAGACACAAAAGCTCCATCCATGAGCCTTCTTCTCCTGTCGACTCTTCGCAGCTGAAAGAAATTATGATGTGGGAAATTGTGGACTGCTGGCTGTGGTGTTGGCTTTACAGGAGCGGAGGCACTGGCTTCAAAGCACCTTGGTTTGTTGTTGTTTGTCTTGGTTGTTTATGAGTACACTGAAACAGTAATCCTGTGTTGTCATCTTAAGTTAAAGATTGTAATTGAATTAAAACTTGCACATTACCCCAGCACTGTGTGACAGAACTTTGTTGCACATAATCATGATGTTTTTTTTTCTGATTCAATCTTTGCCTCTGTTGTCACTGAATACATATACTTGTGATTCTGGTTGGGCTTGGACCACCCTGACCAAATCTGCTTTTTGCCTGTCAGGGAACTGTGTAGTCAAATGCTACTGAAATAATGAGAGAGCTGCGGCATTTGACTTCAGTGCCTTTGAAATTGTACTTACCTGCCTGGCTCTGCTGTGTTGACATGGTGTTCTATCATTTGTGACACAACATGTCAAAAAGTTGCAAAATGAAGATCATGGCTGGCTATTGCAAATATAAAAACTTGCCAAGAGTTACTAATAAAGCTTATCCACCATATTCTTATGAACCAGATATTTCATGCAACTGAGGACGCAGGTCCATTTTGACAAAGCATTTATTAAACAGTGGGTGCATCTCAGAGAATGTACTGTATTTGATGTACTGAGCAGTAGATATGAAACACAGTGAGCCCAGGATCAAACATTTGATGATGTAACCCAAACAGTGCAAACATTTGTAGATATTGAGTTGTATCCTGATCAGTTTTTCTTTGTCTTTCTATTGATCATTCAAAACTTTGTGATTGTTGACAGTTGACTATTGAGAGCCTGAATGCCTCAGCGATAAATCTATTTTTGTTGTTAAAATATATACAGTATTATACTGGGATCAGATTTACGAACAGATAAGCATGTAAATGTAATGAATGAGCAGTTTGAAACTGGCATCAGAATTGATTAGTTAAAGGGTTCTAAAGCTATAACAGACAGATAACTGACTATACATCAAATCACCTCATTTTTGTGTGCTCTGCTTGATCTCAGTCCAATTCATCTTGTTCTTGATTTTATCTATTCTTTCTTGGGCTTTAACGTAGACTTCTTTGACTTTACTAAACATCCAATGAGACATCTACAGGATACCAAAGTGAACATGGTGATCAGCAAACTGCATGCAACCAAGACCGCCATCACATCTAGACTGTGGTAAGCATACCACGGCAGCTTGTAAGACTCAGTACGCAGGTGTGCTGCCCCTTTGTGCCTCATGACATACTCTATCCAGAAAACAGCACTGTCTAAAGGTTTGATGGGTTTATCATGGAGCAGCCCCGACAGTTTGAGCATATTCTGTTTGTACGAGTTTTCTGGATCCAGGATATTCTTCATAGCACTTGTCAGAGACTCAACATCCATTTGTGTCACTTCTACCATCTCACCCGCTCCCCTGCTCGTCATATGCACCATGTTGTCAAACTGGTCGAAGATTAGAGGCATTCCCAGAATTGGGACACCATGGTAGATGGCCTCATATAGTCCATTAGTGCCCCCATGTGTGATGAATAACTTGGTCTTGGGATGACCAAGGAGATCATTTTGGGGAAGCCATTTAACCAGCCTTGTGTTGTTTCCCAAAGTGGCAGGTTTTTCACCGATGTGCCTCCACACGACCTTCTGAGGTAGCTTGGCAAATGCTGAAGCGATGATCTCTGATATCTCAGGGCCAAGGTCGCCCAACAGTGTCCCGAGAGTCATGATGATTACCCCATGTTCACCAGAGCTTTGCACAAACTCCTCTAAATCAGATTGAAGAGGCTTTGCAGGCTTACCCTGGAACCCTCCAATGTAGACAACATTGGGCATAGTGGGACGAGGGAACTCAAATGTAAAGTCGACCCTCATCAACCAGATATCAGCCCCCTGTATGATGGACCATGGGCTCACATCAGGTCCAAAGTAATCATTGCACACAGCCTGATATGGTGGATTTGTAACAAAGTAGTACATGTAGACTAAAAAGCCACGATAGATAATATTGTTGACCCTCTGGAGAAAGTCCATCCTGTCAGAATGATCAGAGAACAGTTCAGGAACATAAGATAGGGGAGAAGGAGCAAGGGCAACATGCGGATCTCCGCTGTAAATCCAGCGCACATTGAAAACCATAGGGAGCTTGAGATAGTGTCCCAGCAGCACTCCTGCTGGAAATACTGGGTCAGTCAGACAAAGATCATACCCAGTTTCATTCAGCTCTTTGATCAGTTTCTTATTCTCAAAGATACTGCGGGCCAGTTCTGCAACAGTTTTCTGGTTCTCCCTTAACAAATCAAAGACATTGCTATAAAATTCAAGAAGTGCCCACAGCGACCCCCTTCTCCGACGGATATCTAATGACCTCTTCAAGAAGGAGGTCATGTACGATTGGCTTTCTATGTTTTGGGATTGTGTTTGGGGAATGGTGATGGAGGTGAAATAAGACGAAGACTCGGGGATATACCAGCTGGTTGAGGAACGGATCACAGTGATTTGATGGCCCTGTGAATGAAGAGCTTCCACCAGGATTTTCATGTTAAGCCAGTGGCTTCCATCTATTGGGAAAACCAGTATTTTCCCACCATCACCACTGAAGGGAAGAGTTGCTGAAAATAGCAGGACGAAGACCAGGACTGGACAGGACCCCATGACTGTAAAAGAGAACAAGAATTACTGAA